TCATGCGCGCGATACCTGGGAACAGAACTGTAGCTACCCTGGGTCCGTATACATGCTATGTTGCTATACCTCTTACACACCTATACAAGTTCAAAGCACGAACGAGACTTCAAAGCTGTGGTTTGCTGTGCATGTGTGGCTCGAGAAAGATATACGTAAACTCTGGGAGGTGATGCTTTGATGCTTTTGGAGCGGGGTGGTGACGCACTCGCCAACTATACCCTTCAATAGGAACTCGAAGAGCTCAAATCCAGAAGATTCTGAAAATGGCCTGGCTCCCTATATGAACCCTGGGAAGACTGGGAAGCGAAGAGGTGGAAACAGCAGGGAGGTTTTGAACTTTTAAGTAAACAAAAGGCCACATTCAAGCAGCAGAAGGACAATGTGCATCCTTTGCTCTCGCTTCGCAGACCTTCATTTTTAAGGTGGCCTGAACAGGGTGTTTTAGGGCAGCAAACCCTGGTCTCAGGCCACCTTGAATTTAGCTTGAAAAACTGTCTGTTTTAACAAAAGCGTTGTCACAGAGACACCTCAGGACCCTTGCTTCGCATATCTTCATTTTTGAGGTGGCCTGAACATATAGTTTCTGGCAGCGAGCCTCTGGTCCCAGGCCACCTCGAATTTTGCTTCAAAACTTTCTACTTGAACGAATGCACTTCCAATCATATGACAATCAATCGTATGTTCAACCAGGTGCAAGATGAGCTGTGCTTCGGCGCGCAGTTGTCGAGAAAGGGAAGCGCTGGCTTTCGTTTTGCAGCTTCTCAGGTTCAGTTGGTTCTTTGATGTTCTTTGTGCAATCCAAGAAGTCAGGTATGTCTCTTTGTTCTAGAGTCTTGGAAGACGAGATACTTCGTTTGACACTGGCATTTGCTCAGTGCGCGAAATTCTGCCAGCGCAGCGAGAAAATGGGTTCGGGGGGGTCGGGCAGCTTTTTGGCCTTCAGCATCCAGTGCTTTTTTAGATGCCTTTTCGCGACTTGGGGAAGAAGAACGGGTGGAAAAAGAACCTAGAGTGATCATTTTCAGGGAAAGGGCATGTTATAGTCAGCTGATGATTTTGGGCTTGGTTCCGGCAAGTGGCTCTTCTGCCTCGAGCCAGCTGCTCTTCTGCCAGGTGCGCGGACGCCTGCCGCCATTCTGCGAAGGCCACAAAAGCCAGGCGCGGGCAAAGGGGGTGCTATTCTCAGAAGCCGGTTCTGCCACATGTGTTACTGATTGCGTGATAAAATGCAGTCAGCTCTCCAACCAAGAAGTAGCATTAAGAAATCTATATAAATCACATTTGCACTTCCTATTACAGTGGTTTCAGAAGTTTGGCACCCTGGTGCCCGCAAGTTGGGTGGTTTAAATATATGGAGTCCCTTATTTAAAAGAAACCCGCTTCGTGTGCCGGCTTGTATATAATTAAATACCTTTTCCCCGGCCACACACATCCCGCCACACACGTTCCTTCAGGAATGGCTGGTCCACCCAAGACACAGGTCCTGAATGCTTCACAGCTGCGGGGAGCGCCCAGGTCTTCCTCAGTGGATGCTCCGTTTCGCTCGTTTTTTCAGTGCGTGTTTTTTCAGTAGGTGGACTCCCTGAAATCATCATGGAAGATCATGGAAGTGGGGTAATTACGCCACCTGTTTGTAGAGAAGAATTTCCTTATTTCAGGAAGTGTCGTAATAGGGTTTGAAGACGGTCGTGGCAGACAGGGACATGACTGTCGGGCCACTCCTACCGGGTCCTACATCCACGTGAGATGCCATCACATGCCGAATGTTCAAAAGACCTTGCACCTGTTGTTGGTGGTGTATTTTTGATGCGTAGTCTAGTGGGCCGGGGAAGACTTGAAAAATGCTCCAACGATTGTGGAAACGAAGGCCCCTGACCGTCCCTGACCGTGTCTGGAACCCTGAGACGAAAGGCTTCTTGTGGCACGTCAGTGGATGGGGGTTCAGTTCCTCGCCCAGAAGTTCTGCTCCAGACGTTCCATCACCCGAAATGGTGAGATTCAGCCCTACCCAATTTGTTTAACACTTTGTTTTGAAGGATTGAATAAAAAGCCCCCCCACGAATCACACAAGAACAGGTGTGAAAAACTGAATCTGCATGTTTGAGGGAAACCGCTCGGGAGTCTGGGTGAACTTGGTTCAGGCGGCCTGAGCAAACGCTTGGTGTGATTGATGGCATGTCTTATGGCTTCGTCTTCGCCTGAATCGCTCAGGATGGAGCTCTTAGAGAGGCCCATGCCTCAGCCATGGGCAGATCGAACGTTGAAGTAGTATGATTGACTCCTAGCAAGACTCCAGCTGCCCAACCCTGAACATGGCAAAGCCAAAGCTTACTGATTACTGAACCAACACCAAGTCTCCTTCAGGCTTAAGAACCTACAATAGTTGCAGTTCGCAGGCCACTTCTTCGACACGGAGTCCTAAAATCGCGACCTGCGACTTGCGCGGGCCGACCGGCTTCCCTGGTCCTAAGTCCGTGAAAAAGGCCACGCTCAGCTACTTCCCTATTCTGTAAGCTTCCCTAGTCCATTTTTGGAGGGTCCCAAGCGCCCGCGCCAGTGCGGAGGGTGGACTTGGGTTGCAGGTTTGATTGGATGAGAACGACGCTGCAAAAAGCTGAATGGAGGAAGGGTGTACAGAGATGGTCCTTTACAGCCTTGCTTGGTTGATTTTTTAGAGGGGCTACTGCTGCATGTGGTAGCAAACCGACCGACCCCTGTATTATGCAGAAAAGGCTATCATTGCAGCATTGAACACCACTGAACTTGTGACTCAGCATGGTGACAGGTTCACTACTGGCAGGTTTCTAGATACCAGGTGGTTCAGGATATGCTCCATCAACAGTCAATCGTAATGACTTTGGCTTCTTCTATCTGATTCGTATGACCGGGGCAAAACCCGGTGCGACAGCTCGTCACCACTCCGGCTTGGGCACGCGCGTGCGGCCAAACAGCCCGGGGGGGTGGCGTCGAGTCAAGCTGTTTTAGTTTCTTCAGGACGGAGCGAGGCTCAATGCCTGGAACGTTTGGTCTTCCTGCTGCTGTGCCGCAGCTGGAGGAGGACGAGGCCCGTCCTACAGAATCGATCCAGTCGGAGTCAGTCGAAGGGTAGGGTGGAGTCGGAAAACCGTGGGTGGTTCATATGGGATTCGATCAGAAGTCATATCTTTAACCAGCTGCCAGCTTTACTTGCATTGAATAACTTGAACCTGGCAGGAAAGTGCTTTGTTTTGTATTGGCCTTTTGGCGCCTCAATCGCGGGAGATTTCTGAACTGATCGCGCGTTGGCAGTTGCCAGGATTGGTCTTTGCAGTCCTTGATCGTCCCACAGACGAACCTTCGCGTGGCTGGGAGTCCCACTTCTGCAGCGACCAAGTGGTGAGACCTGGCTGGGAGTGGAACAGTGACAGATGGTCACCCCAACCCGCCCGCCTCGAAAACCTAACCACTCCGACTCCATAAAACTGACCCTGGTCTGAACCTTTCCAACCAAATATGAACCAACCAAAATGCTCATATAGGCAACTTTGATCAACTTTGTGCATATCGCGGGTGATCATGAACATTCATGAAGGACCCATCTAAGTAAAACCACAGACTTGCCGCACTCGCAAGTGAACGCCTTTGCTAGTTTGGACCAACAGGTCTGAGATCGCTGGGCTGCTAATCACCGAGCCGGTTGGGCTCAAGCTGTTGGGGGTTTGAATGTTGATGGAGGCATGGGACCAGATTGGCTCCAGACCGCAAGAACTTCAAGATGAGAACGCTTCAGAGGATCCCCAAATTGAAAGAATTACACATTTGGATACATTTGGGAGCTGGCTAAGATCAAAGAAGGCTTATGAACTAGTTACTGAAGGGCTGGGGCATTTGAAGGGTCAGTTTTGTCCACCCAGTAGAACTTCCCTGCCCTGCTTCCATCCGCACGACTCCGCTTCTTCCGAGGTCAGTGTGTATTCGCGTGAAGCCAACGGGGAGGAGTGGGCGGCCTCAGTATGGCCTTGGCCGTTGGCAGTGGCTGTGGAGAGCTGGGCCTCAGGAGGCAAACACTCCACTTGGCCCCGTTTTCACGCAACCTACCCAGGCAAAGTGGATAGCCTCCAAGACCATCCAAAACCTTTTCTTTTGGAGGATTGGGGACACTCCACCGAATAAGAATGAACAGGTGGAATAAAGATTAACCTTAGAATTTGCCATGGAAACTCTTAAGGTCAAGGGAATGGAAGATGAGGGGCTTCCGAGGGTCCCTAGTTGTGCAGATGGGCTCGGAGCTTAGAAACCATGTCAGGGGCTCTTGGGCCCGGTGTTTTTTTTTTGGTGGAGATATCACTCCGAGATGTTCTTGCTTCACTGCTTGGTGCTTTCATTGACAGTGATCCCCAGTTGACTCCAAAGGGTGGGGGAAGGGTTGGCCCCCCAAGCTTAAACCACAAGTTGGCATCAGGGACATCGTTGTACATCAGGCCCCCCAAGTACAACGTTGGTCTCACCTCGTTGTACCTCGTGGGGATCCATTTGTTTTCTTGAGTAATGTGAACTCTTGATTGTACTTTGACATGTTTAACCCCCACTCATGTTTGTGGTTTGATTGATCACGAGTCTAAACATCATTGGGGTGGTTTGCCCAGTTTGGGTTTCCTTTTAGAGTCAGGTACTGCGAAACCTAAGCCTATCGCCTCAAGATCTATTGTTAAAATAACGGCTGGGGTGGAGGAAGTGCTATCCTGGTCCTTTCATTCCCCACCTTTCCTTGGCTTTCGCCTTTTGCATAGAACGGCCGACCCCAACATGCTTACAGATTGACCGTAGCAAATCTACAGAGTGATCCACAGATCTACACATACAATGATTTTATGGAGATGACCTCACTGTTTGAACTGTATCAAAGATCCTTGATTGTTCTTTGCATGTTGCCGGGTGTGTGTGTGTGTGGTGTGTGGTGTGTGTGTGTGTGTTTGGTATTTCCTTCAAGTTCTTCCATGCATTTTATGTTTCATATGTTCTTGTACCCAATGACCGGGCCAGCATTCAGGTGCCTAGATTTAGTCGGGCAACCCTTCTCGCAGGTGAGGTTCGATGCTTGCTGCGGGATGGCGGAAGAGTGCCTAAGAAGATGTGGAAGATGTGTTTTGCTGTTTCAAGGATGTCCATGTTTCAAAACGGAACCACCTTTGGTTTGATGTTTTTGTTTTTGCATACAATTTGTATCTTGATTTGTGTTTTGGTCACTGGCCACATCTGGTCTCTTGCCGACCTTTAAAATTTGCAAAGGTCCAAGAGTTGGCTCCATGGTCCAAAGAAGGCCACTGATTTGAACGCCTCCGGATTTTACGTCTACAATATATATATATATATATATCGGTTCTTGTTTTGAGAAAGCCACACCACCGGAGGTCTCACCCGATCTCCCGTTTCGTGTTTTTACTCCTGGAACCGGAGTCACTCCGGTGCCACAGTGGGAGGTGTATCCCATCGATGGCCCTGAGCCACCAGCTCCAGCACCTGCAGGCGACCGAGGGATCCGCTGGAGATCTGGAGATCCGACGTTTCAGACGTTTCGGGGAAAAGACATGAAAAGACTGAACTTTGGATGCAATATGATGCAATATGGATCTAAGCTGATCCAACGAGCTTTTGGAAGTGGTAAGTTGGTGTCAAGAAATGACCATAACAAGCACCTTACTACCATTGAAACTTCAGGGTTCAAGGGCACACCGGGGGGGGTCCGATGGCCGTGGCGAGTTCGCCCAGGCCCTCCAAGGGACCCTTCGCTGCGCTCGGTGGGGGGCCATGGTGGGGATTGGGGCGGGATGTGAAGATTACACCCTGGAATACACCCTGGAGGCCTGGAGGACTAACTGGAAAACACTAAGGGACCCTGAAAACCACTGGTTGGTAGAGGAAAACACTTGGACCCAGGGGGCCACGGACCCGGGTCTATGTGAGTTGACTCGGGAGTGTACCCTCCAACACATATGATACACATGGAAGTGGAGTTCACCTACCACTTTGTTTTGTGGAAGAACATGGTCTTATCAGGGGCCACTTCATTCCACTCGCATGATCGGAAGCTAGGGAGTGACTGTCGGTTATTGCAGGAAGGGACGAGTGCAGTTGGCATGTTTGGGCCCATTGGTCAAAAGCCGTGGACAGTGGATGTTGATGTTGGGGCATCACTCGGAAGGTGTTGGATGCCTTCAAGCTCGGAACATGGAAGTATGACACGTGGTACGGACACGGGGTACTGTATATGATTGTAAATGCATGTGCCTATTCCATGCATGGATGGTTTGGGAACCTGAAACTTGTTCTTCGCGATGTTGCTTCAAGTCTATTTTACAGGGAACCTGAACTTGAACCATTGTTCCTGCCTCGCTTCGCAGATCTTCGGGTTCGCTGACAAAGCTCATGTCACTATGTCGAGGTTGGTCAAGAAAAATAAGGCCTGTCAACTAGCAGCTAGCAGGCACACTATTTGCCAGCCTCATTATGGAAGGGGGGCAGTCCCAAATATCAAATCCAAACTCCATCAAGCTCATGATATGAACTCTTCGTACTGCGGCAACCTTTTTTTGGGGGGCCATTCTGTTTGATGTCAACCTGTTGGTAAAGCCGCCGTAGGTTGGGCAACTTGTGCCTCACAAGAAGCCGTGCTACATGACTTCCATGAATTCATCCAAACACAAACATGCCAAACTGCCAAACCCAGACACTCCATGGGACTGCCATATATGGTTTGAGGGGTCAATGTAGGCATATAGTAATATATGGCAGTCGCATGGAGTGTCTGGGGATGACGATGGCTAGGTCGATCTACCTGACGAATGTCGGTCTACCATCGTTCATTTGCATCAACTCCTCCAGGGCGGCTCCTCTCGTGGGCCCCTTTCCTGCCCTGTGTCTCTCTTCCGAGCTGCGCGCAGGTGCGCAGGTCTCGTCTCGCGTAGATCCACCGGCCAGACGCACGCGCAACACTCTTCGCCACCGCGGCGGCTACTTCGGCCTCGCCATGCCTCGCCTGACGCATCCGAGGTTTTTATTCCCGAGGCCTTCGCCTCCCAGGTGGAGATGAAGTCCCGGCACCTGGCGGCGTGCGCCGAGTCAAGACACCAGAGAGCGGTCAGAGCTGGAGAGCGCCAGAGCTGGAGAGTGCTGGTGACTGCGCTGGTCTTTGCATCTTTTTGTTGTGCTATAGTAGTAGTAGTAGTAGCAGTAGTAGCAGGAGTAGGAGTAGGAGTAGGAGTAGGAGTAGTAGTAATAGTAGTAGTAGTAGTAGTAGTAGCAGGAGTAGGAGTAGGAGTAGGAGTAGGAGTAG